TAACGGTGATTAATGAAGCCCTATTATGTGTCAGACATGATACAAGGTACTAGGATACAAAGATAAATAATGCAGATCAATATGGGAAATGCTATGCTAAGGATACATAAATAGTGTGTTAGAAGGTACACCTAGCTTCGTCTGGAGGAAGGGGAGAAGGAGAAAGGCTGTGAAGACAGTGCTGAGTCTTAAATGATGAACAGGAAGGATTTATCAGGCAACAAGGCAGGACAGAGCATTCTGGGCCTGTAGTAGATGCCCAAATATATCAGTAACAATGCAGGGGCAAAGCCTCATGAGAAAGAATCATGGAATGCAGGGCAGGACAGAGAAGGGAGTGCAATAAACCATAAGCAAGAGGTCACTGGTGCACCAAAAATGGAGCTAGTGTTTTTCCTGGAGAGTTCAAAGGAAGATTCAAGGAGAAGATGGCATCTGTTCTGGTCTTAAAGGTAGTCAGACTGACAGGTGGAGGAGGGAGATGAAATCATTCTGGAAGAGAAGGCTGTGCAAAAACCAGATAAGCATGAAAGATTATGGCCACCCTGTCTCTTCTATTTACATTCTCATGCTAGAAATCTCATCCATCCCTGAGGCATCAAATGCCATTTTAAATGGACATCTCCTTAATTTAGGTCTGCAGCGCTGAATTCTCCCCTTAGCACCCATTTGTACCTCCAGATGTTTGTCTGGCATCTCCACTTAGAGGTCTTGTAGTCATGTCAACTCGTATATGTTCAAAACTCAGCTCCTGTCTTTCTTTTCCAAACCCGTTATTCTCCCAGTCTTTCGTCTCAGTTATTGGTGCCACCGTCCAACCAGTTGCTCAAGCAAAAAACCTAGGAATTGTCCTTGATTCCTCTTTTCTCCAATCTCCATATTCAGTCCTTCAATAGGCACTCTGATTCCACTCAAAAGCATATTTCAAATCTGAAGACTTTACTCCATTTCCTGAGTTCAAGTGACCATTTTTGCCTTATCCTTCCATCTGGTCATCTTGTTTCTCCTTAGCTCCTCTACTGTCTATTTTCCGCTTAGTAGCTACAGCCGTCTTTTTAAGATGTAGGTCAGATTATGTCACTCCTTTCTTTAAACTCTTCGATGGCCTTTTGTTGTTGATAGAACCAAACTCTGGCCTAATCATCTAGCTCCCATGCAGCTCTCCAATCTCACCTCAAGTCTTAACTCACACCACCTGCTCCAGCTGCACCGGCCTCCTTCCAATCCCCAGCACACTGAGGTCCTTCCCACCCAATGCTGTGGCACCTACAGCTCCCTCTTCCTACAGTAGCCCCCTCCATCTCTTCCCATGGCCATCTCACTCTTATCTTTCAGATTTTATCCAAATGTCATTTCATCCAAATATCCTATTAAAAATATTTTAATATCTTTTTGTTTTAATGTAATGACTATTCTGTTTGGTTTTGAGGCTATTTTCATTTTTTATTATTTTATTTATTTTATTGTACTTTTGTTTTTTTGGTGGCTGGCTGGTAAGGATCCAAACCCATGAACTTGGTGTTATAAGGTAAATATACCTTCTAATGATTCTACCCAAATTTTTAAAAATCCTCACTCTACTTATTTCCTTCTTAGTAATTAACACAACATGTAATATCCTATTTATTCATTTATTTGTTTATTGTCTCTCTCACTTTATGGAAAGTCCCAGTTCCATGAGGCAGAGGCCTAATCTCTCTTCATGCACCATATCCCAAGTACATAGCACAGTATCTGGCTTTAAACATGTGTTCAATAAATATTTGTTGAACAAATGAATGCCAAAGCCAATAGTGTTTTAAGACTGTAGATAAGGGTTAACAGAATCCAATACACTGAGACATCAAGTAAAATAAGGATTGAAAAGGATTGTTTGGGGCTGACCCCGTGGCTCACTCGGGAGAGTGCGGTGCTGGGAGTGCAGTGACGCTCCCGCCGCAGGTTTGGATCCTATATAGGGATGGCCGGTGCACTCACTGGCTGAGTGCGGTGCAGGCGACACCAAGCCAAAGGTTGCATTCCCCTTATCGGTCACAAAAAAAAAAAAAGAAAGAAAAGGATTGTTTGACATGATCCTTTGAAAGTCACTGGTGAGTGGAGAGCAGTGAATTTGGAGTGAAGGCAGAGGTAGGAACACTGTGGGTAAGGAGTGAAATAGGAGATGTGGAAATGGAGAACAGCAGGTGTGCTAAGATGCTTGGCTGACAAAAGGAACAATGAAGGGTGTAGTGCTACAGTCGGGGGGTCTAAAGAAAGTCCTGTTAAATTTTTCTAAGGGGGGCCGGCCCGGTGGCGCACTGGAGAGTATAACAGAATCCAATACACTGAGACATCAAGTAAAATAAGGATTGAAAAGGATTGTTTGGGGCCGACCCCGTGGCTCACTCGGGAGAGTGCGGCGCTGGGAGTGCAGTGACGCTCCCGCCGCGGGTTTGGATCCTATATAGGGATGGCCGGTGCACTCACTGGCTGAGTGCGGTGCGGGCGACACCAAGCCAAAGGTTGCATTCCCCTTATTGGTCACAAATTCCCCTTATCGGTCACAAAAAAAAAAAAAGAAAGAAAAGGATTGTTTGACATGATCCTTTGAAAGTCACTGGTGAGTGGTGAGCAGTGAATTTGGAGTGAAGGCAGAGGTAGGAACACTGTGGGTAAGGAGTGAAATAGGAGATGTGGAAATGGAGAACAGCAGGTGTGCTAAGATGCTTGGCTGACAAAAGGAACAATGAAGGGTGCAGTGCTACAGTCGGGGGGTCTAAAGAAAGTCCTATTAAATTTTTCTAATGGGGGCTGGCCCGGTGGCGCACTGGGTCTGAAAGAAGCAGTTTACAATGAAGAAAATGCCAAAACCATTTCCTGGGCCCATGGAACACAGGACATAAGAATATGAGCATCCTTCACTCAAGAGCATATCGGTGAAAACAAGGAAGTAGTGTTCTGAAGGTTGAGGATGTAGGGGATTTTATGTATGATGACACGGAGGTTCCAGAGGGCCCATTAGAAAGCGCTGGAAGGGGAAGGAGTAAATCATGAGAGGGAGGGAGGGGAAGGGGGAGAGAGAGAGAGAGAGAGAGAGAGAGAGCACTCACACTATAGTAATGGATGAGGGTACCTGAGAGCCAAAGATGGAAATAATTGGTGCTGAGATTCCAAAAAGCCCCAGGGGTAACATCCTTGTAGGTCCTGCACAGAACAATGTACCAAGTGGTGTCAGGGGTCTGAGGATACTAGCAACCTGGGGTCAGTCTGCCATGGTCAAGCAATTATCTGCAAAAGGACCACTGACTTCCCTCCAAGGCCAATGCCAGGAGCAAGTGAACATGATTGTCTGTTGGAACCTAGAGAAAAAGCCTCTTTAATTCAGTATCTGTTCTTTTTTAAAATTTAGTTTTGAAGTAGCTTTACTTTTTCTGATTATGAAATACACACACATTGAAAAAGATAAGGTAATGCAGATAAGTATAAAGAGTAAAATAAAGATTGCTTATAATCCTTAGATGGAGATAATATAATCTTTGTTAACATTTCCACACCTGGCATTGATAGGATTCCCTGGCATTTATCAGTTGGGACTCTGGAATACACCTGTCAATCAATGTTTCCTCTCTCTCCCAGTCCCACCCTCTCTCTTCCTCTCCATCTTTGGTGTGCTACCTTTCTAGCTTCATCTTATTCTTCCTAAATTCAGATCTTGGTCATCTCTGGAGTGCATATCATTCAACATTAAGCTCATCCAGTTATTCATCAAGCACTGAACGGATGTCGCTATTGTGGCTGTAGAGTTGCTGTGGCTGTGGCCGTGGTGCTTGAGATGCTTCTTTTGGTTCTCCCATGTTTTTACAGCAAGTTAGGAAACCACTTAGCTGTTCATACCCACCTGCCAGAAGAGGGACTGCCACATTGCAGGTGAGGCTAACCCAGCCTCTACAGCAGACCCTCTGTGCCAGTCACTCACTAGCACTCACCATTGGGGTACTCTGTTTTTACCAGTAAGATGCAGTCTCTTGACCCAGACACAGTATGGCAGGCCAGAGTGGTAAAATGGGCCTCTGTCAAATAAACACCAACTGTGTCATCACGTTGGGAAATCCTGAATGACGGTTTCAGCCCCACCCAAACAGCGCATGTGTACTTCCAGTATTTTCATTCTGCCTCCATTCCCAGAGAAGGAGGAAAAACAGTCCTCGTAAGAGCGATGCTTTTACCTTTTTGCACTTGATAAGCCTGACCTTCATTTTACCACATAGGTCAAAAGGACTATATACCACAACCCTCCTAATTTGTTCTTTTCCTCCTTCCTCCCACCTATCTCCTGCTACTTCCCCAGAAGCATAAAGCTTTTAACATCCTGCGATCCATTAGCATAAATAATCTCATGCTTTTAAAGTAAAAATAGCTTTAAGGCTATATTTGTTAAAGACTGCATTACCATAAGAGGATAAAAATATTCTTGAGTAACAGGTACATCATATACTTTAGAGACAATAACATGCTTTTACCTCCTTCCTCCCACCTATCTCCTGCTACTTCCCCAGAAGCATAAAGCTTTTAACATCCTGCCATCCATTAGCATAAATAATCTCATGCTTTTAAAGTAAAAATAGCTTTAAGGCTATATTTGTTAAAGACTGCTTTACCATAAGAGGATAAAAATATTCTTGAGTAACAGGTACATCATATACTTTAGAGACAATAACATGCTTTTATTGTGGTTCCCTGAAAGTTGATTATTTTAGCCATAGATTAAAACCTTAGGCCTCAGCACAAGTTGCATTTCCACTTCAGAAATTGTTAAACCCTGAGTTTTCTCGGGTCATGTATCTTTGTATTTTATTTTTTCTGTTGCCAATATGTTATAAGCAGATCTAAGAAACAAAACAGATGAAGTGCCATTTAAATTTAATCTTTGCTGTATGAACCAATGGATAATGTTATAGCTTTTCCCCTCATCTTTACATATCTGTTGTTAATTTAAGTTTTATGTAACATTTATACAATAGATAAGAAAATACTGGGCTAAGAAAGAACAGAAGTGGCAGGAAATGGAAATGAGAGATCTTCAGCGTCTAGAAGAACTGAAGAAATTAATGGCTGAACAGTCGGTAAAAGACAGAGAAAGGTAAAAGAAAAAATTTTTTAATTGTGTGGTGATGGAGGTGATGAATGGAATCTTCTGTAATGTGTTAAGATAAACAATAGTTGAGGGAGCATTTTTCTACACTTAATGTATCCTTTCAACATTTATATTCACAAATGGGTAAAATGAATGTATTTTAAACTCTCATATTCATCCATGAACTTCTAGTTTTTCATTTTGTTCCTTAGGTAGGTTCCTACTTAAAACTCTCACAGAGAATTTTATAGTATTTGATTGCCTGCTGTGTGCATGAAATGATTTGGGCTGCTGCTGTGACAATATTTTGACACAGAAAGGGGAAACCATTATTCCAATAAAAAGGGAGACACAATTTACTGTGACTAAAGCTGGAGAAGACAACATATAGTTATGCAGTGCTGTGTGGTATTCATTATAATATACTTAGGGTATACCCCATACATGAAAAAACTTAAATTTCCTGGAATCATAATATAATTTGAGAGCTGGAAAGGACATGTGAGATCAACTGGCCCAGGTTCCTCATTTTACATATACACTGAGAGATTAAAATTAGTTTTCCAAGGTTACTGTATCTATTAGGGTCAATCGGGAGATAAAAACTAGCATAGTAGTTTGAACAGAGAAAGCTAAATATAAAGAACTACAAACTCTAACAGGAAATCCCTGGTATATAAAGGGATACAGAGAACTTTGAAGAATGCCATAGGGCTGAAGGAGGGTTCCCATGGAAGAAGCAGTTTGGAATTGGGGCCCCCTCTCCATCACTGGGGTTCAGACCTCATTGTACAAGCTGTGATTATGGGCCACTACTACATAGTGAAGTTCTTGGTGGGCTAAGCCAGAGCTAGTTCATAGTCATCAGGCAAACAGGAAACATCCCACTTGAGTGCAGGCAGACCAAAGCTGGATGCCAGCTATCGAGATGCTTGCAAGACTTGATGGAAATCTGGCCATGGAGGTACCTCTGAAATTTGATGGGAAACTGACCATAGGGGTGGCACTGGAATCCCATGGACTGGGTTGTACCCTACATGTGCTGCTGGCCACCATGTGGTAGAAACAAGAAGGAGTAAATGCTGGAACCAGGAAGGAAAAACACCTCCCTTCTGCAGTTTCCCTCAAGCATGCTTTTCTGAAACAGCTTAATATTTTGCCAGCTGCAAGGGATAAATATAGGGTCCAGCTCTATTTTCAGAGAGCAGACAATGAAGGGTGGATATGGAGCTAAGAGACAATAAATTGATAACCAGCATAGTTATCTAATTTAGATAGCTCATTAGTGATTTTCACAAAAGATAAATTGAAGAGAGATCTTCCATTTCATAACATAAATCACCATAAGTTACCTTCAGTAGTGAGTTTCCCTAACACATTTACCTGTTAGTCACTGTAAAAAAAATTGCCTGGAATTCTCTGTACTTCTGCTTAATTTTTCTGTGAACCTAAGACTGCTCTAAAAAATAAAGCCTATTAAAAAATTTGACCCTTAGACTTATACACAACTTTGGAAGATATAACCATTTAATACAACAAGGTTCACTTGTATCTAGGAAGCTTTCTTTGTGACCCATGTGACAGTCATCTCAAACTCCAGTCTCCAAGGTTGCAGAGTGAATCTGGAATTCCAGATGGATGCTAGGCATTCTAAGGACTTTCTGGGTGAAATTTACATTATTTTCCAGGTTTAAGGATTTTTTAGTTGAGTATAATCTATTACTGAGAGAAGTAAGAATACAGCAAAACCAGGGCTCAAGTTTAGGAGGTGAAGCAGCCAATGCTAACCCAGATAAATAAGCACAAACTGAGATATAAGTGGATACCAGAAAACAAGCCATGTGTCAGTAGACAAGAACCTCTGAAGAGCTAAATAATAAAGGGCAAGGCAAAGGCAGTGGCCAAAAGCCTGGTTGGACAGTCTAAAACTATCCTGGTGAAACAAAAGAGAGCCAGAGGAATTAAAAGGAGTGGAAAAAGCAGAACAGATCTGTAGTCCCAGCATTAGGAAACATGCTTCTTATAGAATCACCCTCAGAGCCAGGGAGCTTCTTTGATTATAGAGTCATTAAAGTCTTTTGTTTCTTGTCCTGATAATTATCAAGATTAGCTGATTTAAAACTTCAGTTGAAAAGAAAAAAAAAGAAAATTTGGCTAATCCGCATTACATAGCAGGAAAAAAAAATTGGCATATTACAACATTGCAAAAAGAATACTAAGGACTAGGAGTCTAGGAAACCAACGTTTTAGTCTTAACTCTTATTGAATAATGTATGATCTTGGGAAAGTTGGTCATTTAACCTCCACAAGGCTCTGTTTTGTCCTTTGTGAAATTGAACTAGATAACTGCTGAGGGCTAAATGGGTTGATCAATTTTTAAGGGTCTATGATCTATATATTCTAATCTAATGTTGATTCTTATGTAGATTCAGGAAACTATAGGTCCAATGCTTGTATGCCAATGAGAAATCTGTGAGGAAGGCCTTTAAAATATCAGGATGTACAAGAGAAATAATTCTCAGAAAATTTTGATAATGTTGTCGACAGAAGCATAGTCCTCCTTTTATGATTTAGGGAGATGGAATTCAACATTTAAAAATCGCCGGCAGCTTTTGCTTCTGACAGTAACCAGAAGTTGTGTCCTTTTTGTAACAATCCTGGCACTAAGAAATTTGGTTGATTGGTTAAAACGTTTTTCTGTAGGGCCGGCCCGGTGGCGCACTGCTATAGTGCGCCGCTTGGGAAGCGCGGCGGCGCTCCCGCCGAGGGTTTGGATCCCACATACAGACCGGTTCCCGCTCACTGGCTGAGCGAGGCGCGGGAGCAACGCCGAGGGCTGCGATCCCGGTTGCCGGTCCTGGTCCGGTACGGGGGCGACACTGAGGGTTGCGATCCGTTGCCGGACATGGAAAAAGACAAAAAAAAAAAAAATCGTTTTTCTGTATTACTGAAATGCAATTCACAAACCTCACGTTTGATATGTAGGCACATTTTTTTTCGAATCAGAATAAGAAAGCTTGGAACGGTTTCCAGATCTGTCTTCAAAACATGCACACACAGCCTCAAGGGTTTGAAAACTATCACTTACTTCCTTTTCCTATTTTTAAATTCTAAGATTAAGTTTTTTGACAACCACATTCATAAATAAACCAATTTGTTAGGTTGACCCATATAAAATTCCATTTTTGTAGGTAAAAAATGATGGAGTATTGGCAATTTCATGTGGTTCAACATAATAAAGAGATAGAGCAATTCATCTTATTTATTAATTACATCTCTCTTCTCAATTGATTACAGTGTGTCTTGTATTGAAATTGTTTTTGACAAAGTTTGCACTAAACTAATTCCCTAATAGCCTATTTTTGCTTCTCAACATGCCATTGAGGTTAAGAGAGAAGACTCTACACTTGATCTTAGCCAAAAGGCTGAGAAGCGATGAGAGGGAAGACTCTAGAATCAGGTTGTTGACATTAGGGTCCTGTCTCTATCTTTTACTGCTGTGTGGCCTTTGGGTAAATTACTTAACTTCTCTTTACTTCGGTTTCCTCATATGTACAAAGAGGGTATGAATAGCATCTACTTTTCAGGATTGTTGCAAGGATAAAATGAGATATTGAATGTAACACACTGACTGCCTAGAACATAGTAAGTATTCATTAAATATAGGTAATTCCTGTCAATTGACGTTTTTACAACATGAGACATCCTCTAACCAATTTTTCTTGAAGTATTTAACCATTTTAAGTATTTTAAATAAAACATGTAATAATGAGGACATTCTTATAAAAATTAAAACAAAGTTACAGCAAAAGTGCCCCTTGATCACTACCCTCATGCGATCTTTTCTCTAGAAATCATTGCTTTTATCAGTTTTTTAACATATATACATACATACTATCTATATCTACCTACAAGAAAAACGAGTTTAATAAGAACAACAAAAAAGCCCAATGCATTTAAAAATATAATACCATCGTGTTAGTCTGCTTGGGCTATCATAATAAAATGCCCTTATACCCCTTAAGTGGCTTAAAGAACATAAATCTATTTTCTCACAGTTCTGGAGGCTGGAAGCTTGAGATCAGGGCGCCAGCATGCTCAGGTGCTGGTGAGGCTCTCTTCCTGACTTGCGGAGAGCGACCTTCTTGCTTTGTCCTCACATGGCTGGGAGAGAGAGAGAGAGATAGCAAGTCTCTGGTGTCTCTTCTTATAAGGATCCTAATCCCATCATGAGGTCCTCTCCCAAAGGCCCCATCTTCAAATACCATCACATTGGATGGTGGGACTTCAACATATGAATTGGGGTGGAACACATTCAATCCACAGCAACCACTTGTGTAAAAAAAAAGTGTGTGTATGTATAAATTGCCTACTTGGCTGTTAATTACTATTTATTGGTTGCTGCTAGCATATAAGGCCTTCGTGCCAGTTAGAAAAAGGTGCCGTCTTCTGGTGGCGGAGTGCACAGAGTCCCTATGGCAAGTGGACAAATTAGGAAAAGGCTCTGCTGCTGAACCATGGCCCACAGCTGGGCAGATGTAAAGCTGGATGGACATCATGCCCCATTTATACCCCTGGCCAGGCATCATTTTTTAAAGCACAAACTTCAAAATAATACATGGTATCCTTGCAAATAGACCTATCTAAGTATTTAAAAATGTTATATATTATTCATATTTCTTCTAACATTTAACTCTGTAACCATCTGGAATTTATTTTCATGAATGACATGATCTAAATTATCCTAAATTGATAGCCAGCTATCTCAATATTAATTATTTAATGAGTCATCCTTAGCTACTGATTTAAAATGCCACCTTTATTATATATTACATTTCTAATTATACATTTACATCCATATGGAGTCTTGATTAAATAAAAACATAACTATATTTATATTTCTACTTCAGTACCATGCTGTTTCAATTATTTTGTTTTGTTCTTTAGTAGAATAAGTGTTCAGTCATTGTTCTTTTAAAAAATATCTTAGCTATTCTATGTCAAAT